ACAAGCCATGGTAGTTACATCCAGTCATGTCACAAAATTCCCATCTGAATTAATTGTTGCTTTTAAGACAAAGCTCAACTGAGTTTGTAGAGATAACCCTCAACAAAGGTTTAGCTGAACTGCAATATTTCAAAAAGTCTGTTACACACAGAATTTCCCATGGCTGCTGCTCTCTTCTGGAAAGAAAGAAGTGAAAAAAGTGCTTTTGATATACATGCAATAGCCACACTGGCCTGTACACTCCTGGATGAAGGGTAGGCACATGGTTCTCACCAATCCTGTTTTCACCCTCTTCCCAGAAAGTGTGTCCTAGAGGTGTTCAAGGCCAGGTTGGATGGAGCCCTGGGCAGCCTGGTCTAGCGTTAAATGGGGAGGTTGGTGGCCCTGCATGTGGCAGGGGGTTGGAGATTCATGATCCTTGAGGTCCCTTCCAGCCCTGGCCGTTCTGGGATTCCGTGATTCTGTGAAGCAGCCCCAGTATTTGCACCAGCTGCTTCCTCCACTGTGCTCAAAGCTGAGCACGGATGACTTCAGAAGCACACAGGGAGCAACAGACAGCTTTATTCTAGCACTTCACACCCTGATTTCCTTCAGCGTTTGCAAATGTCAGCTGGCAAAATCAATTCAATTCCTCATGTGCAGGATGAGCAAAGCCCTGCAACATTTCTTGTCTTTATGACAGAACATCTGTCTTTTATCTCTATTCATTTGCTAAGTTTACACACATTACCTCAACATACATCCAAGAATTTATTTTCATAGAATCCTTTCCCCAAGAAAGTCTCATCACTAGATTACTAATGGAATCTTAAAATAACAGAACATCTAGGTTATTTGTTTTCCAGTAGCTAGCTATTCCTCCATGCTCCTTTTACTGTCCTTTTCATTTCTGCTGTATTCTGTTCCAATTCATGCACTTTTGCTGCCACGAGATGCAGAAGATTGACTAATAAGACAGTTCACATTTGGAAGAAAAGGCCACAGATGAATGAAAGCTGCAAATTACATCCTACAGTAATCAGTAAGAGCCGATTCAAATGTAATACAGCAAAGGCAACCTTCTATCAGGAAGTGATGGCTCATGCCAAAGCAGCCTGCCAAACCAGGCAAATTTCTTTTCGTCCTATTTCCTCCTCCAAAAACACAGAGCTACTACTGTGTAAAGGGATCAGAATTACCAGAAGAGAGCTGACTGACACACAACATGGTGATATGAGTCTTATTTCCTTAGGCAAAATTCAGGATATGGGTCAGAAAGCTTGAATTGTCTCAGCAGTTTGACATTAAACTTGTCTGGCAATGTTACAATTAACGTAAAATAAGCCAAACATTTGTCAGGCCAACTGGTTTTGTTTCTCATGAATGCAAACCAACTTTGTGTCATGATTATATTTTTAAGTAAAATTCAACTTGCATAAGCCCTCTTATTTTTCTTTTCCTCTCTTCTCCTCAAGACCATAATTTATTACTGGCTTTATGGATTTATGACTCAGAACCAAAGTTCTGAGTATTTAATGCAACATACGGAGGCCATCAACTTTGGAAAAAATCAAACCAACCCATACTCACCTCCACCCCTCCCCCCTCAAAAAAACCCACACTTTTTTTCTTTTGGGCGTTTGCAGCACTCACAGGAAGCAGATTACCTTGCATGCTTCTTCAGTAACAATTTTATCTTTCTGAAGAGATGGATTACAATGAGGAATGAGTGTTCACAGAACTATCTGCCTAAAAGCAGCTGACAGTCAAGCTGACAAATCTGCATGTGAGAGAGAGGGGAACAAGGCAGCACACCAGTATGAAGACTTTTCTCTGAAACTGAAGAAAGTCAAGACTGAACCCAGTACTTGGCTTCCCTTATTTAGTAATCTTAGCAAACTGAGAGAAAGTCAAGAGAATTCAAGTTATCTCTTGAGCACAGCTGTAACTTGCCAGCTTTTAACTGAATGCCAAATGTAATTCAGTTACGGAGATGAATATTACATGCTTACGTCACAGTTAAATCATTGCTGTTTACAGGTAAGGAAGGTACTGAGTACCTTCCAAAATAGTAACTGTGGATTCACCAAGGAGGATGTTGCTACTTCATTAGCCTATTTTTGGGTATTGCCGTGAAACTAATTTTCTTCCCACACAAAGTCTGATCAGGCTGATTGAAAATGTTCTTGGAGGATCTCCTGAGTAGGATTTGTAGTGCACTCTGCTCTGCTGCAAAAGCAATGTTGCTGGTGCTAGATGGACAATTAATTCAGTGCTGGTTCAGGGGTGTGCATGTACTCTGAGATTCTGCCTTCTGGAGACAGTGAAGCACTGGCACAGGTTGCCCAGGCAGGTGGTGGATGCCCTGGCCCTGAAGACACCCAAGGTCAGCCTGGATGGGGCTCTGAGCACCTGATGGAGACATGGGTGTCCCTGTTCATTGCAGGGGAGAGGAGCTAGATGGCCTGTAAGGTCCCTTCCAACCCAAATGATTCTATCATTCTATGATGCTCAAGACTCCAGTGACACCATTACAAGATGAGACACAGGACATGAGGTTCCAGAGAAGAAAATTACAATTTCCTCCAAAGAAACAAGCATGAAAACCACAGGCATTACCGTTACTGAAGTGATGCATGTATAACAAGGAGATTTGAGTCTAAAGGGCACTCTGCCAAGTCACTGCGAGGAGACACAACTGGAATACAACACTGATCCATCTGTGTAAGTGCAATGACTTCGTTTAGGGTACTGAATTAGCTGCCAGACTAAGCCAATGATTTGACTCTAGCAGACTACAACAATTTGCTCTGTTTTCACCAGTCATATCCACCACCACTCTGCTGGAAAATTCTGCCTTACAGAGCTCAGAGCTACAAACTCAAGGCAATGAATGCTGTCAGACCATCTACTTACTGAATGGACACAAAGTCAGTAAATGTCATTGAAAAAATGACACAGTGCCTTACAGGACGGTACTTGGTATTGCATTTCCAATGCAAACACAGTTTCTTTGCAACATTTATAAAGATAAATCATGTTTCTGCCTTCAAATATGCTGCATGATTCTTGAAATTAAATTTAAATTGTGTTTTTTAAACACTTCTGACAACAGTGGAGGAAGCAAAACAAATGGAGCTATTCACCATGTGAAAATATTGAAGAAATCTTCAGTGGTCATTTTCCTTTCCTGTAAAGCTACTCATCAAAATGTCTTATTTTTGGATTAATTTTCTACTCCCCCTTGTCTGTGTCTGGCAAGAAATGAGAAAGCCTGTTTCACCACTGCCAGTTCTTCCTGAGGCTATCTGCTGTGCATATCTTCAAGGCATCAAGTCACAACCCCACTCCTAGTAAGGAAGGATTACTCCTTTACAGCATTCAAGAACCTTGCCTTCCTACTGAAAGGATACTTCCTAAAACAGACCAAGTTTTCAGGAGTCCCAACCCACCAATGCTATTTAAGACCCCACCACCTGGTGACCTTTCGTGGTCTTTGACATCAGGCTGAACAGTTCAGAGCAACAGAGGCTCAGAGTACTACTACAAACTTACACACAAAATTCAATCCGTGCTTATCACTGACATTTCCATACATTTTGAACTATCCACCTAGCACCAGTGTTTCCCCAGTAAACCGTGTCCCTTAGTACAAAGATACTACAGCTTTCTGCAAGGACACAGTTACAACTTATGATCTGGTTTCAAGGCTGAGAAATTACTACATTTAACTGCAATCAGATGGACAGAACAGTAAATCTTAAAAGAAGTCACAAAAGCAACAACAAAAAAAAAAAACACGTTTCGAAGTTGTAAATAACTGTAAAGCAGTGGGGCTTGTGGAGTCACTTGTAAGAAGGAAGAGTTACCGGGGATAAAAACGAGGTAAGTGGCACTGCTCTCAGCTATCATAGCATTTTCTTGTGAGAGGGGTGGATAGGAAAACGATAGGGCCAATGTGTTAAGCAAGAGAAAAACATTAAACATAGCATGAGGTTCTACAGAATCCAATAGAAAGCCTGTGCACACTGTTTGCAACAATTTTACAATCTAAATTTCTATGAACTGTCCAATCTAATGTTGCCAAAGAACAAAGCTACTGTTATTTACTTATCACAGTAAATAAAACCAATCAATTGCTTTTTTCTACATCACAGAGGAGGAGAACTAAATTTGAATGGCAATACAAAGAATGTCCAGGCAAATATTCTTGTTATTGGACTTCAGGAGTAGTGAATTTCATAAACTAGAGACGTGGCAAAGGAATCTCTCTGTATGACAAGTTACCCAGAAAAACACAATGGATGCTGAAAGCTTAAAAGTGATCTGATTGTCTGTACTGGAGTCAACAATTTTTCTTAAATCTCATTTCTGTTCTTGAAATACCATCAGTGCTCTGTTCCTTATTATAGTTCCAAAGAGGCTGATCAAGAATATATGAAGTTACTAAAATGATTTCCACTGACTTGAATTAGATTGAGATTGAAATCCAAGCAAGATTTTCACCAGGTAATAACACAAGCCAGCTCTAATGCGGGGAATGAGTTCCCCTTTCAAAGCATGCTTTAACTAAGTGTATTCTGGGGAGAAGTCAAACCTGCACACTAAGATTTCATGGCTGCTAGTATTTTACCTGTTTTTACCCAACTTTTAAGCATTCTTATTACAGATAAGTGTGTATACGAGAAATGATCAGAAATGATCATAACACAACTGGCACGTATGTTTTTCTGGACCGCCTACCATGAGTATGATATCCTGCACCCAGTGCAATCACAATAAAAATTTACTAGCCTCAACCACATAGAAACTAAAAACTGACTTGGCGAATGAATCATTCAATTTAAAAGTGGGTGAGAAAAGTAAACACCAAGAGAAAGCACTGCAAGGAGCTGTGTTTGCAAAGAACCACTCAACGCTGCGAGATAATCTCACATCTCGAGTTTCATAGAAAATCCAACTTCCCCTGCATAAAAACACCATTCAGAAAAACTAAGCATGCAAAAATTACAAGCACTTACCTTTTTCATTGCAACTTGTGGATGCTGGAAGAAGAACTCCAGGCTTGGACTTGTCATAATTGTTAAAGCTCTGGCTGCGGCGATTGTTGGTACTGACAGCACCACGAGTTTTTGTCTCACTGCCTGCAGTGGACACCCTCGTGGTCGGGCCTGGCAGCCTGACAAAAGAATTACAGTAAGATCAGATATGTGAAAAAGCACTATGAGAGACAAACTATGGAATACCATGCGTAAGATGAAAAGGATCAATATCACAAACATACATTTTTAAGGTCTTGGTCCTTACCAGAGAACTAATGGAAAAATCATCTGAGATGAAAAATGAATCACAAACAAGCTACAATCTGAATTGCTTTATATTAAAAGAAAAGAAAAAAAAAAGGAAAAAAAAAGAAAGAAACAAGATTGTTAATCAGATACTTTAACAGCTTTCCTTTCAGCTCAAAAAAACTTCAGGACGCAGTCTGAAATCCCTGTCTAAGCTGACTAATACCAGATTTGGCAAAAGGAAGAGTTGTTTCTAATGGACTCAACAGAGAACACACTAAGCTGTCTCCTCTCAGTAAGGTGATACAATCAGACCCTCTCTACACATCTTTTGCTTGTTCCATTAATGGTCACTTGCCATAAATCTTGTGAATCAAAAAAATGCAGTGCAGTAATAATACCAGCGTAAAGTTAACACTAAATGAGACATTACTGCTCTTAAACCAGATTGTTGAGCAGAGATACACTTATTTTGGATGTAACATGGGGAAGTACATTACATCTGTGCTCAGTGGCCAGCCCGGCAAAACATTAACTGGCTTTAATTTGCGCCCATTAAATCACACAAAATGTAAGTCCATGCTCTTAGGGCAACCACATCAGTGAGCAGGTATAAGTTTCTGCTTTAAATGGATAGAGGATGGCAGCAAGCTGTTTCAGGGATGGATTTTCCAGCATTTCCTTAGCCCATATCGAAAAGATTTAAATGTTTACCTAGAAAAAAAGGTAGTTAGGATTCTGGAACTAGCAGACAGGAAAGGATACTCGTTTCACATTTTTCAGGCAAAAAGGGAAGGGGTAGAATTTTCTGAAAGTCTGACAATTGGGAAAGCCACAGGCACTGCATCTCAAAACAACCCGTGTGCTTGAGTTTTTCAAAGTGAACGTTAATATACACAGCTTGTGGGTCTGAATGTACACAGCTTGTGGGTCTGCACTGTGTTTTGCGTGCTCACAAGAACATGCTTCTATGTTCCAAGTAGATGCAACATTGAAAATTGAAAGGCTTGCTGGTTTCTCAATATCCATTCTTAAGAGAATTAAGAAAACAACTCGTTTTAAAAAGCAACACCATCACATTATAGACTAAAAGATAGGACCAGTTCATGGCATATAAAGAAGCAGTGAAAGGGCCTTCTTTGTGCTCTCTTTGTATTTTCTGTAAGGTGGAATCTCCCTAAAACTGACTCTGCATGGAATACAAAAGCCAATTTAACTTAACATGCGCTGATAGTAGGCTGCAATGAAGAAGTCCCAGTTGTCAGAGTGAGGAGATACAGCAGACCAACTCCCTGCTGTGCCTATGGGGGTGCTGTGCCTATGGGGGGGAAGAAGCCAGGAAGGAGACTGGCAGAGCTTTCAAAATTAACTGGCTTCTCAGAGTCCAGTGAAGAAATAGGAAATAGGAAAAGAAACATGAAGGAAAAGTACAGAAATGTCAGCAGCTGCATGCACATGCTTTCAAAGCTCAAAATGGGATAAAACATAAGGGCATCATTCAAATACAAAGCAAAAAAATCTTTTACAAACTCAAAGCACCACGGACCTGGCACAGCGTATCATGGTTCTGAGGTTTATTTGGCCGAAGACTTTAGGACAAACCCTCCATTTAGCCAGGAAGAGCAGCCTTTTCCAGCACTGGGGGGTGCTAGGAAGTTGTCCTCGGCTGTACAAGTTGCAGCACGGTGCCATGGAAAACACCCCAGGGATGCTCCATTCTGCACACAGACCACATGGAAGGAGCAGCAGTGGGGAAGGGAAGGAGCAACCTGAACATGGCTGCCAGGCTCTTCCTGAACACTTGGAAAGCAATTCATTAAGAGTTCGTTTTACTGAGTAGGAACTGAGCTACAAACACACAAGATATCTCAGCTTTGGCTTTTCAGAAGGACAAAAAAAAAAAAAAAGCTACAGGCAGGGCCAAGTGGGGCAGCAAGGCCTGCAGGCTGGCAGGGCCTGTGAAAGGCAGCCACACAGGTTTTGCGAATCTGTCCTATTTTAAAGGAATTAAAGCTGCCTGAACTGTGTGAGCACTCAACAAGTGGCAAGTTGGTGAGACAATAGTGTCATTGCCATTAAAAAACACATGGAGAATGAAAAACGTGAGAGTCAACAACAACTCTTGAGTGAGATATCACTTCTCTCACATTTTTCTCTGTAGAAACTGTGTGCTTTTAGCGCGTATTTTTGGTGTTTGGCCAAGACATTTCACAGCAACATCTGTGAAATCTAAAGCAAAATCTAGGTGCAGGGTGATGTTTCCAGCTTCTTGCTACTAGAGAAAGGTACTGAGCCCAGGCCATAACTGTGACCCAGAAAGAAGCACAGAATGATAGAATGGTTTGGGTGGGGAAGGACCTTAGAGACCACCTGGTTATAACCCCACTACTACAGGCAGGAATACTGTACTGATGTGTCAGGGCAGCAGCAGCCTGGCTCTAGCTATTTCAGTAATGCAGAGCTACATGCAGCTCACACAGATGGGTGCAGCAGGGAGAGAACTCCCAGAACCATGTTTTGTTCTCAGAAACAAAAGCTTATAAGGGTAAGAAAACACAATCATTCTCTTGCAGGCCTAAATGCATTCCACACTTTGAAAAACAGAAAGAAGTTAAAATTCGCCCAACACTTCCATGTTTCAGCTGCTGGTAAAATGCCTAGTTACAAACGAGGAGGCAAACATTTTCAGCATGAATCCTAAGCATGCAATAATACTGCAAAAGGATTATTCATGCTTCGAGGAAGATGAAGAAACGCTAACCTAGAAGACTTTTTCTGACCAAGAGTGAATCGGATGATTTTGCTTTGAGATGAGTCCCTGGGAGATGCACTGTACGACAGGAAAGAAAAAGTGGAAGATATCATTGAGCAACAACTTTCTTTTTAAAGCCACTGCACTTAGTTACCAGTTGCAGGGAAGAGGGAGTTTATGCTCTTCGCCTAAGCGTAATTTCAGGCCAAAACTGTTTAAAATCTGAAATCAATTATTTTTATACAGTATGATAGAAGATGTATATAGATGCAGTTTTGTGTGCAAATTCACATTTTTTTACTCTTCTCAGTTTTTTATTATATATGATTTCTTCAGAATCTGTGCATTTTCAGCTTATAATATACCATATGTTATATTTCACATTCTCATGTTAAATAATTTTAAATTTCTTGAAACCCAGCACAAACCATACAATGGACAGAAAATACCAAAGCCATACTGAAATGATCCTATGATTCTGGTCATGTTTTTTTGTCACAAAAGTAACAAAAATACATTCCAATGTCTCCTCATTTGATGATGGTTATTTCCTGTACAAGCTTATACACGCTGTAACAACGTCGTGCTTTTCAATTACGCAAATAATTGTTTCCACTTAAAATGAGCATGGTTCACTATGAAAAACATAGGAAAAACTCAAGGAAAGCCCGAACAAGATCTGAGTAGCATCTCTCTTGGAAGGCTTCACTTGATCTGTCTGTATTCCTCACAAAGCAGCACATAAGCTAGCGTTCATCTTAGTGAGTTATTTTAACACAAATCAGCCTTAACTTAATTTGTGATGGTTTGAAACAAATAAGCCTTTAGCAGTAACTGTGCAAACATGACTTCAGCCTTTCATCCTGCCCACTAAAATACTCACTCTGTTAACAGGGGTCAGATAAGCAGGCTGCAATTGTAATCACAGTGCTACTGCCTGTGGCTTTTATTTTAACCTGCAAAGAGCTCCATTAGGACTGAAAACATTCAAGGCACAAACACTCCCTCTATTCTGATCTAGGAGAGCCAGAGAACACCAACAGTGCCATTTTTTTAATGTAAGCCAGCAACTTATTTTTGATCATTAGGCCTAGATTTGATTTTGAGTGTCACCAGCTGTGATGAGTTCTATTTCTTTTACCACGGTTAGAGCCTAACACCATTTCTTAATGAGGAATAATACTCTTGTAAATAGAGAACTCTAGGTTGGCCTTCACACATCCAAAGTATGCTCTGTAACAGCAATAACATAACACGCTTTGAGAGTGGAAAGAAATAGAAATGAATAATTAGAAGAATGCCCTTAGAAAACACTGTGGTCTTGCTGGTATTCTACATTCATTGAACTGAGCATTTCTAACACAGAGAACATATTTAAGCACGTGTTTTGATTTCCAGAGGTGTGAAGTCAACTGCTACCCAGCATTCCCCTTCCAACACCTCATTCTGGAGAACTAAGGAAAGCAGGCTTTTGAAGGCCTTTAAGAAGAAAACCAAACAAACAATGAAAAGACCAGCTTCAAAAGAAATTTCCCCACCTTGACTGCATTTCTGGTTGTGCTTTGAACGGATGCTGTACAGCTTGCTGGGGCTGTTGGCACTGAGTTTGGAGCGAAGCTGGCACTTGCTGCTGCTGCGGCCCAGCCTGGCCCTGAGATGCAGGCCCTGCTTGCAGGGACACAGAGGGAGCTGGCTGGGACAGATGGTGCTGTGCTGTCTGTTTCTGTGGCTGCTGCTGCTGTTGCTTGTATCGAGACAAACTGAAGAAGAGGCCCAGGATGGCCTTTAGATTCCCATTCCGGATTTCTGTAAGGCAATATACAAAAGTCACTCATCAGCCGCCAGCAGTTGTTTCTTTCTGACAGAGCAGTGGATTGGTCACTGCGCCCTTCACAATGCTGTCAGGACTCCATTCCTCTAGGATACGGCAGACTTCTGCAAACCTCATCAGCACTGCTGCTGACTACCAGTTAGCCAAATCTTCAAATAAATAAGTGATTTCTCCCATGCAGTGACAGCAACGGATGCTGGCCATTTCTGCTGCTTTCTGCATGTTAGCACCACTGCACTTAAGAAGTTAATTCCTTTAAATAATCCCTTTAAAGTAAATCAAACAAACTAACCAACCGATCAAAAAATACCACAACAAATGTATTAACATCACACCGTAAATGATTTCATAGTCTTAAATTTGCACGAGCAAGTGAAACCAATCAATTACCATGCTGCATTGTATCATTTCTGGAATACCAGCCTAATTGTTTCCATCAAGATCTGGGCCAGCTTATATGTCAGAAAATACTGTTACTGTGAATTGTATAAGTAAATAAAAACCATCAGCTGGACTTTTGCCCTCATGCACAGACCACCTGAGTTAGCTCTACTACATGGAGCAGTGCAAGACGGATGAGAAGGACGTGCAAGCCCGGGGCCAAGCATAAAGGCGAGACTTAGCATTCAGATTTCTGTTCCCAGTTCTGAATGAAGGCTTGCTTCACCTTGTACTGGGCTCTGCTCTATCCTTTATTCCCTCTCCCAGCCACTTTTCATCTTTTCTGCGTAACAAGCTTCTGTTTTCAATCCTGACTCCTTACCCAGCAAATACCTAGCTCACGTCTTAAGAGTTTGCTCCACTTTCTGTCCTAACTTCCAGCTTTGGCCTCCTTGCCTTCTTAAATCTCAATCTAATTTTCCTTCCCAGCAGCTAATCTCATTTGTTTGCTTCCTCCATTTTGTTCTGGCCCATACTCATCTCTAGTCACTCTTCACCCTTTTCCATGTGGTCCTGGCCGTTACCCAGACCCAGGGCATTTCTCTCCCTTCCCTTCTCTCTGAGTTGATTTCTCCTCCCCACAGCCCAGTACCTCCACATGCGCTCTGCCACCACTACCCCCATTCTCCTCTTTACATGAATATCAGTCCCAGGGCCTGGGTGAGAAGCCGTTCCCTGTCTTCCTTAGTTTTCTTGACCAAATTAGTCACTTCCTGGGTAGCGGGATCCCCTTGCTTCCCCTGCTCACATCTAACCCTAACCCCTGCACAGTGTCCTAACCCCAGGCCTGACTCCTCCCACTGGCACCAACATGAGGCACTCAGCTTGTCTAATCTGCTTGTGTTTGTCAAGGGAGGACACGGCATGGAAGGAGACAATAAAGCAAAATAGACACAAAAGACAGCAAAGCACAGTGAAAAGCATCTTATCTTCAGTAAAGAACTCAGTTTACTGATGGAACCGTCAGGAACGTATCACTTAATCATGGGGCCATGACTAAACAGACCCAGGAGCACCAGGAAGCTGAACTGCACAAACACAGGCCAGAAGATAAAAGGAACTCCAACAAGCCTACACGTGTAGACTTAGCAAAACTCCATGCAACTGGAAACAGGGTCCTGATTTCACTGTGAAGTGAGAGGTGACTAAAACAACAACTTCACCTAAAACCCATGCCCTTCTGTGGCCGTGCATGGGAAGAGAAACCTGCTTTTGGCATGTTCAACACGACAAAAAACAATAATCACAAGAAAGCCATGTTTAATGAGTTTCAAAAGCAGCAGCCTCTCTCCCTCCAGTTTTTAAGTAACACATTTCAAACCAGACTTCTAAAGGCAGCCCTCTAAGTGACAGACTGAGGGAATTCACCTGGCAGCTTGCCCCTGCCCTTTGCACTAAAGGAGAACTTCAACCCCACTGTGTCCTGCGGTCCGGATCTGATTCCTGCCTCCCATTTTGAAGAAAATCCATACAAATCCACTCTCTGGAAACTTCCATGCTGTCTTATGTATAGATTTTTCATGCGTAGAGATAGTGAACGTGAACATTTTGCGCAAGCCACTGATGGCTGGCCACTGAGGAATTCTGCACGCAGTCCCCCCCAACCTGTCTTCATTCACAGGTGAGAGATAATGGTCTTCTCTATTTCCACAACAACATCCCACACAAAATCTCCACAGAACACAAGCCAGAGATGCTAAAAAAATAACTTGTCAACCCAAAGGAATCTTAATAACACACAGGCTTAGTGCAGTAGAAGCAAAACCTGTTAAGATGTAAGTGCCCTCTCAGGTACGTGTCAAATAGCACTGTGGGGTATTTGTGCTGTGGAAACAAAAATCCCAGCTGGAACGGGCTGCCCAGGGACTGAGTCACTGTCCCTGGAAGTGTTCAAGAAGCATTTAGATGTGGTAATAAGGGTTTAGTGGGGAGATACTGGTGGTAGGCAGATGGTCAGACTAGAGGCTCTTGAAGGTCCTTGCCAACCTTGGTGAGTCTGTGATTCCAGAAAGGAAATAAAATGGATTTACTGCAACACTGCAGAGTGGATACACTGAAATCCATTTACCTACAGAAGCATGTTAATTCCAGAGGCAAAAGCCTAAGTTCAACAGAGGTAGTTCCAAAGTCTAGCAAGCTGTTTTCTTTCATTGCTTTATGGTCTCATGATCTGCTCAGCTGATGGTTATCCAGCTAATCTGTTACCCAGAGGAGGTGCAGCCTCTAGCTGTGAATTCAATTTGAGTTTTTACTGCACGTTTATATTCTTCATAATCTTCAAAATCTTGCCAGAGAGGAAACTGTGTGTGAAGGACGGCAAGCTTAGCTGGGCAGCAGCAGTTCCAGGTGCCTCGAACCCAGCAGCGTGCAGAATCACAGATTCTGTGCAGGAACAACAACAACAACAACAAAAAAGAAAAGCAGCAGCAAGGGGAGAAAAGGCCCCTGCAGCATCTCCGTTTTATTCATTTCATTTCATTATTTCATTTTAGCAACTGGGAATAAAGATTTTAGAATGTAAAATCTTTGCAAAGGGAATGCCTTTCTGGATCCATGCTGCTGGGGCTGAGGGTCTACCAGTAGCATACTGAGGTCATCATCAGAGATTGCACCTTCACTGCCTAGATCCATGAACACATTATGCCTGTGTCACACCAGAAGGGTATTACACATGAAGTGTGTTTCAACACATAGGAGTCAACTTCCCTCCATACTAACACTGCACTGTTGAAAAATGCATATTCTTAAGAGACTCAGGAGAGGTGTCAATGTTTATTTCCGTTTGGAAGCAATCACAATCTTTTACTCCCTCCTGGATGAGGACATGCTGGTGGAGTAAGCACAAGCATTTAAAATTGACCTAGCAGGTCTTGGCAAATAACTTGTGCAGAAATACAAGCTCGCTTGGTTACAGCAAGCTCAATTTTAAGTGATTCTGTGTTCCCTAGTTCCGTTTCCCTCTTCCTTCTCAGCACAGCTGAGAATGGGCTCTCCAAATTTTCTTGCTGAATTCCAGTCTTTTAACTTCATTTTATAAAAAGTGATCCTTCTCTCTCCTCTCTTCAGACATCATTCTTTTCCTTCAGCATTAGTGGTAGAGCCAGTAAGTGTTCTCATTCTTAAGCTAGCAGCAAACATCACTGGTCTCTTCCCAGCTTCCGTACAATTTAATATGTTAGTTCCTAGAAAGAGGAAAATGTGAGAGCATAACAGAAAGAAAGAGAGAAAATTCAGCAGAAGCCACGGGATAACCGACATCCTGCTGAGTCTGACTTGTGATTTGGCAGGACAGCAATGAACATTAAACACGTTGTCTGCTCCCCAGTGTGAATGCTACACTACCAGCTTAGCATGCTGACAGTTTTCTCATCAACTCATCTTCTGGATAATGTGAAATATGTAACATTTTTGCCCTACTTACCACATCAAGATTAAAATCGGCTTTCACTATGGACTCAAAGCTGCATTTTGTTTAATCATTTCCTGAGAAGTTTTAACTCACACCTCTCTTCTTGACTTGAGAACTCGGACTGGAACGGAACTATCTCAGCACAGAATGCAGGCATTTTCTTGTATTTTTTAATACATTTGACAAGTATAATGCATATATGTACAACTGTACATGATGGTTTCACCATGAAGTTCATCCACAGCGGTAATCAGCTTGTACGTTTCATAAAAAGCACTGACTCAGTAAGGGATACCTGGGTTCAGAGAAGACTTGGAATCACAGTCAGGAAGCACACAGCTCAGATTAAGAAAGAAGGCTCAGATTAAGAAAGAAATCATACTCAAGAGAAAACAGTACTAAACTGATCAGAATAATGTTAAATCTAAATTAAGTATGAACAGTATTTTCAGCTGCTTGAAAGTCCATTTTGTGAAACAAATGTGGAAGCAGCTATTTGTCAGCACAAAAATTACTATTAAAATGTTTTGATACAAGCAGGACTAATATTAAATACATTCCATCACCAAACTACCATACATTTATATTTTCAGGGGGGCAAAAAAGTGAACTAAATGAGGTGTTCCTGCTCCAGCAGGGGAACTGGACTAGATGATCTTTTGAGGTCCCTTCCAATCCCTGACTTTCTGTGATTCTGTGATTCTTTAGGAATCAATAAACTTTACTCCACAAGGGGAATTCCTTTCCTCAGCATTCAGCAAATGCAAAACGCTCACCTTGTCTCTGGTCCTTAACCCCACATCCACGAACGCTCATGGGCACTGGCAACAGGAGAGCCAAGGCCAAACGAGGGAGGACTCTCTCTTCCAACTGAGAGACTCTGCTCTTTGCAAATCTCTGTACATGACTTATAAGACTATCTATCATTCATCCTTCCTTCTTTCATTCTATTTTTAAAGGAGGAAAGCTGCGTTATACTTGCGATTGTATAAGTATACACAAAGTTTACAGGCAGAAGACTTCAGACCATCCAGAAAAATTAAAGATATGCCCATGGTTTTGGGCACAGAAATTCTTTCAGGCCTCTGAATATGAATTGTTGCCTATTTTTCCGTTTACACTAACTATTCTAATAAGATATATTAGCTTGACTACTGACCTGGGACCAGATGAGATGCGATTCATTTTCTTCCTATCAGCTCCCGGTGCTGTGCTATGGACTGGTAACCAAACCAGCCCTTCTGCTGTTGCTGAGCAGCACCTTCACAGTGTCAAGGCTTTCTTTTCCCAGCCTCAAAGAAGCTGCAGGTTGAGAAGAAGCTGGGAGGGGACACAGCTGACCAAAGGGAGATTCCTTTGGTAACAACATGCTCAGCAACAAAACACAGGGCGGAGAGGTGCTGGGTATGCACCAAGGAGGTGGTGTCATACATACACCTAAGGCTGGCTGAACTACCAAACCCACCTACTTCTGCAGCATGCTTAAACACAGAGGTGAACGCTGGTGACGAGAATTAGGGAGATGTGTCTGATCTTTTAATGAGACAGCAGTTAGCTTCTGAGCCACCAGGCATCACACATCCTGACGTACATCATGTGCTGATAGGGAAGAACACCACATACACACACAGCCATTATCTGGTTTTGAAAAATTCTGGTGCTCCTCATAAACAAAAGCAATGAACTCAAGGTCGGTACCTTTTTCTTTGGGTTCAAAACATTTGTTGTGGGTTGTTTGGTGTTTTTTTTTTTTTTTGTTGGTTTGAAAACAAACTTCTAAATATCTCAATCAAAGGTAACTAAATAGTTGAAGAATGATCAAATAACTTCTCTCTCAACAGACAAACAATCCCCATCAGTTTTAAATTCACATGAATTCTATGCTCTAATCAGTGCACCAATTACAGAACTTACATGAAAAACTCTCCGCTTTTTAACAGACATACACAAAGACATTACTGAATTAGAATAATTATTTGTACAAGTCAGCGGAGACGAGATGTGTATTTCACTTACCTTGCATAGTGAGATGGGGGGAAAAAAAAGGAGTTAAAAACTTTAAGTTACCCATATTTAATCCTCCATTCCATGGCACGTGACTACAGTCACAAGCAACAATTTCAGCTCGTTATTTAAAATGACATTTTAAAGTAGGGATTGACTCACCTTCTGCTGACAGCCCCTGTATGTTAATCCCCTTAGCAGCCAGGAAACTCAGGCATGCATCTATGTTTTCAATCTGCTCAGGAGCAACAACAAAAACAACAACAAAAGGAGACACAAAAGAATATGCGTTGTAATAATTGTTTATGTTAATTTCCCGCCACCCTTTATTGCATTCAGTCTTCATGTCACACAAAAAGTCCCTTTGCTCATATTGTGGAAGCAGTAACAATATGATTCTCCTAAGTTACTAAGGTCCTACACTGATGGAGCATTACCAAGCTCTGGACTATTTGTACGTGAATGAAGCACATTATTTAATGCTCTAACCGCGAAAGATGATCACTATATGTCTCATTAAAGGAGCAAGGACCTTATGCCAAGATTTTTAACATACAATAGTGTAATGAATGTGAAACTGAAAATAAACACGGAAGCCACATTTGCTTGAGAAGGCAGATTGCCACTTGCTCTTAAGTTGACAGCTGGCAAAAGTTTCCAGCCACAAAAGCAGTCAAATATAAAAACTGTAACTGAAAACCCCAAGTGGAATCCAAAAAATATTTACCCACTGCATTCTCCACAGGTCAGAAATGACAGGCAACCCTGGTCTCCCACTGAGGGGTATATCCTGCCCTTCAGAGAGATGGTACAACTAACAGTGCTGAATTGCATGGGATAAAATGCATGTTGATCAGACAGTATCTGCACAACGGCTCTGCACTTTAATGACTACAATTGCTACGCACAGACTGGATTACATCCAACTGACAAAGTGAATACTAGGAAGGTTGGAAGAGTTGGGTGTTTTTCGCCTATATCTCAATATCACTGCAGAGATCTAGCTTTATTTTCATAACCAATTTCCCTCCAAGCCCTGTTGTAGTATCAAACAACACAGAGATGCCAGCCCCTGCAGACCAAAGCACTTCAATCAGAAACCTAATCCTGGGCACCCATAGAACTCACACCAAAAAAAAAAAAAAAAAACCCAAAACCAACAAAAAAGCCCTAACAACATTTTAGAAAATATCATGTAGTGCATGTGAGGTTTCACATTAGTCTGTCAGATAACAGCAATGCATAATTTTTGCCATGCAAGTATCCTTTTGAACTGAAGTTTTGAGACATATAAAGGGATGGGAAAACCCTCGTTTACACATCAGCTCTTGCCTGCACTTCAAAAAAAAAAGACAAAAACGAGGCTATCAGTATTTGGGAGGCACCTGATCTGTGCTTTCTGCCCTTCTCTATGTAATACTAAAATAAATAAAGTACAAGGGAACAGAAAATCTCCAGGGTAGTTTCACTTATTGCTTGTAACAATAAAAACATTCTTTTCTATCAGGGCAAGAAGAAGTTACTGGCACTACATAACTGGGACTTCAACAGTTCTAAAAAGGGTGATGTGAGGAGGTTGGTAGAAGTTTGGAATATCCTTTGACAACAGACTGCCAAAACCAGACGTGTACCAGGTAAGAGACTGCCTGTAATGTTCAGATCTGAAAGTCCATAGCAGGGTGTAGGTCCAAAGGTTCATTTACCCGCAGTTGGGCATGCGCCAGCAGTCCAACTGTTTAAGTTTCCTTCCTCATGTTTTCAACGCAGCTCTTTTATTGATGTGACTTGGGACTGGAAAGCCAAAGTCCACCATTTCAAAAATAAACGCCACACAAAAACATCCATCTTCCCACCTCCTGTACCTAATGAAACTTCAGCTCCAAGAGCACTGCTAGTCTTCCACAACTCTGGGTAGATTTCTCCTCTTCTAGTAAGGAGATTTGCTCAGGTAAGTAAGTAATGATAAGCAAAATCTTTGTAAGAAAATAAACAACGATGATAAGATCTTGTACAGATTTGCATCTATAAGGAATTCACAAAAAAGAAAAATAGAACTGAAAGACAAAGACACAGCAATGATTCCATCAACATTTATGCAATATTATCTGTGGTACTGGCACGCAGCATAATGATAGCAATGTAATTAACTATTTGAAGGAGAAAATAGAGCTCAGTAAGGAAAATAAATGCAGGGAAATTCAAGAAAATGAAAGAAGGCAGGTCTATAGCTGGAATGATTAAGATTTAGCCTTGGTAGAAATTTAGGGTGCTTCCCATGCAATGGCTGGTACCTCACACAGAAACAACCTGTGTCTGCCATCCAGCTGCAATGGAAAAGGGCTCCCAATCCACCTGGCATTCCAGAGTCTCAGAAGAGGAAAAAGGATCCAGAGCCATCAATGGCTCCATCAGGTTGCCATCTCCTGCATCCCGGAGCTGCCCAGGATGAAAACAGCAATGTTCTGATGCAAAATTTGAAAGTAAGGAAGCTGAAATATTAATATGTCAAGAAGCTTATGGTGTAAATAGTTTTTTATGACCAGTAGCCTGAGTGAAAAACCCTTAACTTGGCCTATCACCTCACCTTAAGCATTAGTACAAAAGGAGGAGGAAAACCAGGAACAGTTGTCAGCCCCTGGCTGGAAAAACAGGATTTAAAAATTAGAAAACGCACATATGTACTGATTTCTAAATACTTCATAAAGGATATCCCCTTGCACATCGTTGCTCTCGTTCCCAGCAGACCTTTATGCTCCTCATTCATTCCTAGCTTCTACACTTCAGTGCAACACTTCAGTATGCACAAATTTAACAACTTCATTCATTTAATTCTCAGTGTGCTATTACTTTCCTGGGCATATGACTCAGTTTTCCCTCTATTTTCAAATGTACCTTACAGTAATTGTGTACTTCTGGCAATGCTGGCCACAACACCCACAAATGTTTTTGTGCTTGTAATATAATACTATTTTCTGCTTCTATTCTTGTCCAGTGCTAGAAAGAAAGGGAGCTAGGAAACATGCCCTGGCCTGTATAAACAAAACAGAGCGCACCAGAAACAAACAAACACCCTCATTCTGTAATATGTAAATGGACACCCAGCATGGCACTGCTGTATGTTGAACGCTGATGGTACAAAAAAGAGACCTGGATATGCAAAGTGTCTGCACCTAAAGCGGCACATTCAAGTCTGCCAAGTCAAACAGACCAGAGTAAATCCCAAACAGTACTGCCCTTCTGACAGATACAGATGTATCCAACAAAAATCAGAGCTAAGCTTCTTGTAGGTTCCTTCACCTAGGAGCCATGGGAAGTTTCTCATGAAGCAAGACCTCCACTCCCTGTTTTTACAGTGATAGATGTGGAATTTTCATGAGTTTATCATGAAATACCACTAGTTGTATCAAATCCAGTACTATACATTTAACTTTCACCTCCGTGTTATGCACATTAGTTCTCAGAGGAAGAAAATGAAGATCGATTCATGTAGAATGTTTGAAAGTTTCTGAAGCTCTTATGCAATACTACAACAGACTTCACATGCAACACAGAAACAAGGGAAGAGCCTAACGTGAGCTGATGACAGCAAGATGTTTCTGAATGCAGAATGTGTACCTTGTCCTTATTTCAGACCGAGCATGAATGCTTAATACTTTTTACAACACAAAGTGTACAAAGAGCCTTAACATCTTGCATTGTTTCCTACACATAGTTCTTTCCAAAATGGCCTGGAATACTACATAAAACAATATATATAAACCATATACAACAGATTCTCAATCATTACAAGTGGGATCAGAGGACATCAGAAGGAAGGTTGAGGGAACAGGGCTTGTTTAGCTTGGAAAAGAGAAGGCTCTGGTGAGACCTCATTGTGGCCTTCCAGTACTTGAAGGGAGCATAAGAACAGGAGAAGGAACACCTGTTTATGAGGGTAGATAGTGATAGGACAAGGGGGAATGGTCTTAGCCTGAGACAGGGGAGGCTTAGGTTAGATATTAGGAGGAAGTTTTTCACATAGAGGGTGGTGACACACTGGAGCATGTTGCCCAAGGAGGGTGTGGATGCCCCATCCCTGGAGGCATTCAAGGCCAGGCTGGTTGTGGCTCTGGACAGCCCACCACCCTGTGGCAGTAGGGGTGAAATTAGATGATCTTTAAGGTCCTTTTCAACCCAGTCCATTCTATTGACATTTGTGCTCCAGCCTGGATCTGGGCCTGGATCTCCTAGATAAACCCTCCAGCTTGTCCTAACTGGGACAGGCTGCCCAGTGGGGTGGTGGGGTCACTCTCCCTGGAGGTATTCAGCTAATGTGTAGATGTGGCACTGAGGGATGTGGTTAGTGGGCATGGTAGGGATGGGTTGGGGTTGGACTTGGTGATCTTTTCCAACCTTTATGATTCCATGAGCTGATCCAAATGTAATGCCTCGTTATTATCTTTTTTTTTAAACATTGGCCCACAAAGTCAGAGGCAGTTATGGGCAGTATGTCAGTAGAGGCTGGCAGTGGGCAGCAGAGGTGGGCAGTACAGCAGCAGAGCTTGAACCTTCCCACTGATATCCCATTACTTTTTGTTGCAATCTGACACAGTGGCATCTGACATGGAAGTGCACATGAAGAAATGGTGTGGCATTCAATTCCTCCACACGAAAAAACTGGCAGCCACTGACATTCATCAATGCTGAGCATTTATGGTGACCAGACAGTGGATGTGAGCACAGGGAGCTGGTGGGCAGTGCATTTCAGCAGTGGTGACAGTAGGTTACCTTCGCTGGTTGGAGATTTTTACAAGCGTGGCATGAAGGCTCTTGTTCACTGCTGGTGAAAACGCACAGCTAAAGGTGGTGACTGTGTTGACAGAACAGAGTTTTATAGCTGAGAACTTGCTCTGTCAAATCATGTTGTGCTCTCTATAACTGTTATAATTTCCATGGAAATAAATAAGCAGTATTACTTTTGGAGCAATACATACGTAAAAATCATCCTAATTAAAGCAAAAATATAAGATATTCTAGATACATACTGCCTTCTACTAATCAAAATAACCATTCTCAGACAGCTACAGTATATGAGTAATGGCTGGAAACCTAAAATTTGTGACAAGGCAAACAGAAGAAGTTTACTTCTCTGAGCTGTATAAACCCCTGTAAAAGCTATGATCTGTTTCCAGTACTCAAGAGAGAAGTGCTTACTACTACATACTCTTTCAAAAGAAGCAAAGATCTAAGAACCAG